TTTGATTGATAGCTTGCCACACAATTATGGTACTCAAATGAGAAGAGTAATCACAGACATTCTTCAAAAATCTGCTTGATAAGGTTCTTCGATCAATAAGTGTCTGTAAGTGTATGTTCTCCTCTCCTTTGGAACCCTTCATGTGACCAGGAAGACACTGTCGAGCCTTTAAGAATGTCTGGAGTAATTCTGGAACATGCTTCAGCCTCCCCTGAAGGCTCTTTTCTCTCCTAAATGGAGAGAGTAACTTAGATTTTCTACCAATTTTGTCTTACGCTCTTTTCTAAGGAACTCCATACAAAGCAGGCAGTTGGTGTACAAATTACAACATGCAGTCAAATCAATTGTTAGATATGCTGACTTCTACCAGAAGTCTGGTACTAGCTCTGCCAGATTCATAAAAACCTTAAGTTAAGTTTTTAATGGTCCTTAATTCTCCACTTACAGTAAGTACTTCATAGCTTGAATTCTATTTAAATTTTAAGATTGAAGTGATTGTCTTAGTTAATGGGAAATGAATCTGTGCTGTAAACTTAAATTGGACAATACCTACAGCATTTTTATGCTACGAGGGTCATGTCTGACAGTTATAGAAATAATCTGGAATTTGTAAATTTGTTCTGATTTGGTCCAGAACAGGGTTTTGTGAAATTAAAACCAAATTATGAAGCTATCAATAAAGCTAGAGACAATACAGTTGTGAAAAAAACAGATAACATTCATGTATTTTGATTATAGTTTGGGGATTTTAGACGAACCTGTTTAACATTGAGGAAATGATAGAGTGTTGTAAACTTTAAACGGAAGCAAAATGTTTCAGAATTTGCCCTGTAAGTCCTCAGAGGATTCTTCAGGTCCTCTTCTTCAATGGACTTGGAAATCAACTCACAAGGATGGGCTTTAGAAACATCAGTACATATGACTTTCTTTAATTATTTATTTGTCCAAAAATGACCATGTTCCATATTTTGTGTTAAAGGTGGCTAATCCTTTTCTCCAAGACCTCAAAGTGCAGTTGTGCACAAAGGAATTGCTATTATCAAGCTGGCAGTATCTCCTCATTTCTGCCCCCACCTCACACACATTGTTCAAAGCCTGTTTCATGCTGTGCAGTAGGTCATCAGGGACAGAAGGAGAAAGCAAGCAGAAGTGAAAAAGGCAAAATGGTTTGTGTCCATTTAAGAAAAAAAATCAATAATAGCATAAAATTGATTTAGTGCTTGTCATAAAACATAAGTAAGTGCTGGAAAATGGAGAAAATTGAGTCTCAGTTTAATCTGCACAAAAGCTGCACTGTACTGATGAAGTGATCTGCGAAGAAAGATACAATAAAATCTAAAGACAGATACTTAATTGTCATATTAAAGACTCTCTTTACAGCCTGCTGGAGTGGTGGGGTAGGTCCCATTAATCATGTGGATAAGGGCCAATGGAATCAAATCACAATTAAAATCTGTTCAATATTGCCTCTAATATGTTTTGCAAGCATTAATTTTTTCCCATTGATTCCCCACCCCATAAATCAGAAATGTTGCAGCGCATGTAATAGTTTATGGGGAAAGGATTATGGTTTTATGAAGTTAATGCAGCAGAACCATCTAATTTACGCAGGCTAAAGCTTTATGTCTATTGCTTATTTCTATTAGTTTCATAGGGGAAAAATCTTCAGGCTACAAAAAAGTCAATGTTTTCTATTTTGAAATAACATCAGGATCTTTGCTTCCTTTGTATTCATAGTCCTTTTGTGTTTGTGATTTAGGTTTTCCTCTTTTATTTCCAAATTGCAGGTTGAGAAACAATTTAAGCTGGGTTTGCTACAACAATCACTTCCCATTTAGGTAATTGCAGCACCTGATGCATTTTTTTACATGTTTTATTTTTGAGAGCCTGAAGATTATTTTACAACGCACACAGCAAATAAGAAAAATATACATTTCAGTATGATAACAATATACTGTACATGCACAGTGAATAAAATAAAGCTCATATTTATGCATGACCTTTTTGTAGCAATTAATACAAACTTTTTGCTTTCAAAAAGAAACCTTCTAAATAAAATTACAGAGCTACAGTATTTGTTGAAATTGTTTTTACTGAGATTAGATTAACTCCTTCACAATAAAAATCTAACCGTGTAAGTTGTGGATTTTACCTCTTTGGATACATTATGTCCAAAATACAGTGTACATCCTAAATCGAAGGGAAAGTTTGTTTATTATTGAGCATATTGGAATAACAAAATGGAAACGACTTAATAAAAATCCAAGGAGCACATTATATGGGGTTTGTGTTGCATTACAATGGCTAAACCTAGTTAATAAAGAATCTGAATTCTTAAACAACAATTCAAAAAGAGAACAGAGAGAATAACAACCATGACCCGCTTGAATACCGCTTATCTCCTGGTTGTTATTGGTGTGACTGAAGGTGGCGTGTCTTTGAGAGAAGATGCTGTAGTAATGTAGAATTGTTCTACTTCAACAATCTGCAGTCTAGTCCAGAGGAACCAGAAAAGCAGGTTTGTAAGTTCAGTCTAACAAAGGGACATTATGGAAAGCTGAGGGTCACTTTAAAGGTTTAGAATGATCACATCTGCCTCATCCGACCGCATGGTCATTTTCAGACTGCAGTTGTTACAGCAGTCCATTGATACAGCCTACAGGGCATCATCAGGATGACTGTAGCTCAACGTGTCCATGAAAAAGATCTGAATGTTTAGAAGCCGTCCCTAGTTAATGTGTTGACAGCCGAGATGAATTCTTCTGTGGGTCACAGGCCACCTGAGATAGGGGCAGAAAGTTTGTTGGACACAGTCCTTTATTCACCTCAGAATAAAAAAAACAACAACAAATTTGCTCTTGACAGAATTGATGGAAGCTTTGTGTTCAATCTCATGATGTTTTACCCTTGCATGGTTCAGACCATGTCTTACTGTGCTTAGGTTTCTCTCCTGACCCGAGTACAGTACGAACAAATTCATGATGATATTAACAGGAGATAAGGTTTTTCGCAATAATTGTACAGAATTCCTGACTACTTGTAGTGATCAGTTATTTAAAGTCATGAAAATGTGTCTGTTTGTGTCTGATTTTTGTATTTCTTCAACTTTTTTCTTTAAGAACTTGCTAGTGGTTCTGCATAATATTGGATGGTGCTTTGAATAATAATCTGTAACATATGTTACTTTGCTATTTTCATAAGTTGCATTCAATTAGTCTAGTGAAATAAAATTGAATATAATGAAAAAAATGTGAAAAGGCAATGTTAAAAACCTGCCCTTAAATTCTATCATTGTTAGAAAAGAATAGTTTCCCATATTCAAAACAGTTAGAATATTCAAACCCCAAAGGAAGCAACTGAAATTTTGTCTAATGTAAATAATTTTAATATATTCAAAAAGTTTTTAAAATTGTTTGCACAATATTTTGTATGCTTGTAGCAGTCAAACTGGAGCTGACACTTTTCATGATTCTTTAAAAACCACTGTGGAAAGGACAGAGAACATTTCGTCACAACCTGGTGCACAGGACCTTTAGTGTGCCCCAGCTCAAATTTCCCAGTGTACAAGGGGCAACCAAGATCAATAAAGATAAATATGTCCATACACCCACATGAACATAAACTTGTATAAAGCTCTCATGGAAAATAAGTACGTTATAAGAGGGTGAGCCAAAAGGTATTCAATAACAAATTTGAGGTGAAGCTTTAAGATTGCACTGGCTTGGCCTGTGATCTCTGCCTTCCTGCCATCACTCATTTTCAGTAGGCGAGGGGGAGCAATTGCTGGGCATCAAATCATCATCCTGTAAACTGGTCCTGACACCAGCTAAAAGGGGAGATGGATCATCTAGCGACTGGTGGAAGTGTTCACGGAAAGGATCATGGGCTATTCTCCAGCTACCACAGCGGCACTGAAGTAATCACTCCTTCATCCTCCAGGGCTACCATATGACAGTGCTGGATCATAACAGAAACAGCAATCACCCAGTCATTGTTCAGAGAACATGTGATATAAATCAAGGGAAAGGCTTTTTGTTAGGCCTAGGATTATAGCAAGACACACTGCCCATACATCTGAGACCTCAGTTTGATTGTCTTCTTATGGAGTTAATAAAAGAGAAGGAGTTAGGTTAAGCACTGATTTAGTAATTTACAGTATGTACTGTAGGTATGCATAGACAACCTAAAGCAATAAGGGAATAACATTTCTAACATATTAGTTGCAGGTTTATGTATAAACAGTAATAAACAGCATAAACAGTAAAATACACACTAAGGTGAGTTTCTCCTCTGAGTAATTTATTATTCGTTCTAATCTGATACATGATTTTAGATTGTAAATAATTCTTTGTGACTTGAGATCAACATGCTTGAGGTAAGAGTGCAGATTGTTGACAACATTTTAGCTTTTCGTGACTTTATCTGATTTTGTACCAGAACAAGTAGTTTTGGATATGCAGTATTCTTAATGTTAATTAAAGGATGTTCTCTCTCAAAATGATTGAATAATTATTTTTGTTCTTTGCAGATTTTTGGTGTGGAAATGTTTTGTGGTTTCCATACTTAGAAACAATTTAAATTTGTAATTTTGAAAAATATATGTTGAAGATGGTTACTGAACTGAAAAAAAAAGCCCAAGTGACATTATACAGTATATAAATGCAGTGCCATTTCCTATGTATCATCAGGATTTCATTCATTTTATAAGGGAGCACAGAAAACATTGAAACTGGGATACAGCTTTGTAATTATGTTCCATTTTATTTTAAAAAGCTTCAAAATAAGTTTCTTATTAATATATTTTTGCTGCAAATTAAAAGTGGAAGAATTTGCAAAAGAGTCCTACTTCTGTAATAACATGAGTAAACATTACAAACACTTGACACCTCTCTCTCCAACTCATTCTACTGCCTCTCAGAAGCAGAAATAGGATTGCAGGTGAGGCTGGGAGGTTAATGGTATTAAACAATATATATTGTTGTGCTTACTCCAATATTCTTTAGATGTCATTACAGGATGAGTTTGGTGAGGGTTTACAGGTCATGATGGTTCATTTGGGATAGCATTGGTCTGGGTCAGTGTTGCATTGATCTCACCTTGTTTATTTGCAGAATTACTGCACATTCCAATACTTAAAATGGACAATACGTAGTGCTTCTTTGATGATGCATTTATCAAGAGGTGACTCACAATGTGGCTGGTTGACTCTTTCTGCCGCTTCACCGAGGGATACCGCCAGAAGCCTATATTGCAGAACAAAATGGATAAAACAGTGTTTGCTTTATTGTGTTATCTAAAAAAGAAAAAGAAAAAAGGCCTGAAATTATCACTGTCATCAACAGAAATGTACAAGAAGTCTATAATTCACCGAGACCTTTTCTTCCCCTGTTTGTTGGAAAGGGGGAAAAACATTTGAAGTGGAAAACAAGGTCAAGTTGAAGCCAAATGATGATAAAGTGACATCTTTCAGAAACAATCAGTGGCTGGGGCCTCTGGGATTAGCTGTGTTTTATGGCATTCCACGTCTGCCATGAGTGCTGTAGTTTAGTGGCACTACCCTTGTGTGAACTCTGATGATCCAACTCAGCCACAAATGTAAATTAATGTTACATCTGATGGGGAAATGGTGAAGTACTTCAGCCATACATTACAGAAATTTTCTGTGGCCCACTGGGATCTGTCATTTTTTTTTAAATTACTCATGTACAAATATGACTGCCAATGATAAGATAATAAGACATGATGCAAGGTAACTCTGAATGTAAGGCTCATATCTTATGATATAATAGATAATACTAGGAATGATAAGATCATAAGACATGATACAAGTTCCTCAGTATGTAAGACTGTAAGGCCGACACAATACTGAATCTCAGCACAGACATAACAGAATGTGTTATTTATGCAAGAAAAGAAAGGCAGAGACCTTTTCACAATAAAAATTCTGCCAATGACATTTAGGTTAATTTCTGCACACATCAATACATATGCTGTATTTCAATCTTTGCTAAATGTCCCGATATCTTTACTATATTACAGCACTTTTCTTATAAACACAACTCCTGCACAGCAGCCAGCGCACACATCTCTCAAATAAATTCACATGACAGTTGTGAAACGCTCCTATAATCAGTGACATGGGATGATTTTCCGCTTCTGACAAGCCTTTGTATTGAGTATGATAACAGTTACTTTGTCTTCATCCACTGCTGGAGTATAATATCAATCCGTTTGATGACCCAGCAAACGAAGCCCAGCACTTCTGTATCAATCTTCATACAGTGCTGCCTGTTGTCTAACAAAAAGCCTGAAATGAGATCATTCAATCACTGGGCTGGCTGGCCTTCTGTGTTGCTGAAGTGGTTTTAACTCCCTGTCACTTTCCTTTTTCTCAGTCTTGTATAAAACCAGAGCAGGGACATCTAATTAATGATAAAATCACTGTACCTGATCATAACCTAATTTTAAATGATTTAGGACTCTGCTTCTACTTATTTTTCTGGATGAATATATAAGAAATGCTCCACATAAATGGATTCGGGAGTTAATTTCTCCCGCTCTGCACATATGTGGGTATCTTTATTATACAGAAATATGTCTGCGTGTTAATTTGTACATGACCCATCTATCACTAAAGATCATCTTCTTTTAGTCACATTAAAATCAATGAACTACCTGCTGTGCTTGATTGTCTCTTCCTGTTATTTGTTTCATGCTCCATGTTTTATAATGTGTATGCGTTTAAATTTTGATTGCAAAATGAAGTTGGGAGGCACATGAGAACAATTGATTAAAAAGCGTTTGAACAGTTAGGGGCCAATTAGACAACGAATGAAGAACAAGTCCAAGACGCATCAGGATACTTCACAATTGATTGGAACCATGCTGCTACATTATTATTTTACTAGGATCTGTCCCAAACTATGGTCTTTCAGCACCAAGCTGATAAAAAAACAAAGAATTATTTTAGGAGCTCTTAAGGATTTTCAACAAGATTTGCTTTTTGGTATTTGGTGTAAACACTCATGATCACTTCCTGAATACACTGTATAAGAGTTGACAATTGGGGTATGAACTGTCTGGCTATCTCAAACAATATGGGTGTGTCTTCCAAACTTTAGCACATGTTAGAATCGTTGGTTACAAACCGCCTTAGCTTTAAGTTTAGTGGTTTAGGGACATATATCATAAAGTATTGAAGATAAAGACTAGGTTTCCCTGTGGCAAAGACTGGGTTAGTGGTAAATTAGGCTGGATAGTTGTTGTATCCAACAACAGACAACAATTCCAGTCCAACCACGGTGTTACAATAAACTAGATGTCTGTCAGTCACTGAGATTGCTGCAGAGTTTGGAGGTTGGTGTTTAGTAAGACAGAGTAAAACAGGTCTCATGAAGGTATGATATGACATCACTCCTCATGCTTTCAAAGATTAGTCAAAGCCCCTTTGAAAAGAGCTGCCCATTTGGAAAAAGTCTAGATTATCTAAATGAACTAGATAAACGGTACATTTGGTCAAGTCTCTAGAGGACCAGTTTCCTTAGAAACTGTGCACCAGCACAGAGCAACACATCATCCTCTTGTACATTGAAATGCCCTAATATTTTTTTCCATCCATTCACTCAATATAAGAGAGAACATGGAAAAAAAGATTTAAATCACATGACTAAAACTATAAAAAGAATCTTTTAGAGCAATGCAGTCCATGCAGAGAAGAAAGTGGAACAAAAAAACAACAGTTAAAGTAATCTTCTTTTTGTCAGCTCATGAACTTCATGTGTGGTACTCAAAACCCTTCATCCAGGGATCTAGCAAAAAACAGAAAAGGAACTAAAGACATACTTGTACATTCCAAAACATGGTAAAGAGGCCATTCTCCATTTTTGAAAAATATTATTTATTTTCTTCTTCATGAACACAGAAGACAAACAAGACAGCCACCTGATCAGAACAAACCACAGCCTAGATTTTATACAGGTCCTTGATACAACAAATAATTCAAAATGAACTGCAGCAGCTGTGCTCATTTTAAGAAACTGAATGGGAAAGCACCACAGTAATTACTAATCTCTAACCAAACATTCACTTCTCAAATACTCAAGAAACACTTTAGAGATAACTCAGACATTAATATAAAATGTTGAAATTTCTGAACTCATGTAGTTATGTTATGTTTAAGAGATACTGCAAAAAATTTATGAGAAGATAAAATAGACAATAGTACAGTATGTAAGAGGAAATACAAGAAAGTTCAATGTTAACAGTTTACTTTAAGCTTTATGAAATCCTGCTCTCAGTGGCATACTGAGAGCTAGTGGGTATTTGAAGAGATACTCAATGAAATACAATCAAGTCTATACTGTGTTACATCTCTTTAAATCCTTTGCATCTCCTGTGGGTCAGTACAGATCTATAGTTGTTGTGCTGATGAAAAACAAAAGACGAGTTTTTGCAAAGTCACCAATTTTTTTAAATCGGCAAAATACCAGCAATTCAATTAAACTCATAAACTCTCTACCCATAGTTCTCCGGGATAAGCAGCACCATTTAATAGTGAATGCGGATGAGTCTTTCCTGTCCTCGTGAAATATTGTTCAATCAACAGGCAAAGTTTTCCTTGTCAGTTTTGATATATCCGATCATAGCTGTAGGTTGTTTTGCGATGTCCAATGTTCTGTGAAGATGGGCTTTTCATATTCTTTATTGTTTCTTTCTGACAAAATGTTGTCTGGATTTTTGCAGTTTTGTGAAATAGAAGCATGGTGTGAAGGAAAAAAAGGCAAAATATATTTAACCCCTTTAATTCCAAGTTATCCTCTCAGGCACTGCAGATTTAACAGCCACACTTTTAGTGCAGGAATCAGAAAAATCATAATTGGTTCTTCTAAAACGCTGAGCACTAAACAAAAAAACTGTTTCTCATCTTGTGGACTTAAAATCCTTTTTCCATTCATATTGATAATAACTGAAAAACACTTATGAAGTAAACTATACATTGTGCAGACATTCCTAGAACATTTCAGAAGTGAAATTAAATCAGACATACTGTATACTGCCTTCACGTTGCCCAGCCCTGAAAGTATTAATAGAAAACAGTAGACCATTTGCTTTTCATTTGCACAGTAACCAGAAACTATAATATATAATACACTAAGAGGAACAAAGTTACACTACGTAAATAAAATAGGACACATTATATACGCATGTCCATTTTGGTACAAAAATCAAATCCCTCACAAATTAAAGACATTATTCATTTTGCATACTACATACTGTAAACCAAATATTTTAGTGCCAATACTGCACTAAAAAGCAAATATAAAAAACAAAAAATGATAAACATTTTTCTTGTATACAGGCACATTTTAAAGTGTTGATTAAAATAGAGAAGAGTCTATAGTCTCATAAGAGAGAAACAGTCATTTTATTTTACTTTAATCTCAGCATGATAAAATGTTAAAAATATGGCTTTAGAATACAGTGGAGCATCTGCTGAGATAATGAAATACCAGCACTGTTATCATTTATACTTTTATTTCTAGTAGAGAAAAATCAGTGTGGAACGTGAAAACGAGAATAAAACAATAATCAGCTGTTGGATTGATAAAATAAAATTATATTGTGTTGCCTCTATATTTGATAACTGATTATTTTTGGTTATCATGGAAAACTATGAACTTACTGTACATACAGTATAATCTAACAAATTGTATCTGCAGCTTTTTAAATTTTTAATTGACCAAAAAGATCTTGAGAAAACAGCTTTGTCAGAGTTTAAACTTTGCACTACAATATATGTTGAAACAGCAGATACGGACAGAACATTCTAGCACAGACATTGTGCAACCTGACATACTGTACAGTATTTCAGCTGCTGTTTTACAATCAGAACTATGTAAAGTTACATTATATATTATGTGTACTGTAAATAATATTAATCTACACCTAAAATGGTGCAAAGTGCTTCATAAACATCTATGTACGTCACAGCTATCTCTCACATTCCATTTTCCTTTGTATCGATTATTAATAGTACATCAGCTGTGTATTACAGTATGTGGAAAGGCACAATGTAGTTTTTTTAAATTCTCCTTTAAAGTACCATATTCAGAATAGAAGGTATGTGTTTTCATTTCATACAGTAGCTGCTTTTTGAAAATTAACTCCCTAAAGTTTTAAAATGGGAATGTGTTTTTATGATACCTATATACACATACAGTACCTACTGTATCTACAGTACATA